TGGGCACAGTCCCCTCTGCCGAGCTTGGGCCGCTTCTTCCACTTGTGACCAAAACACCCTCCTGCAATTCTCTCCCTGCTTTCCTCCAGGGCACCAGCTTACTTTGCTATTAAATTAAGTCTAGTTTTCGTCTCAAGTCATCCTTACGTGCTCTGGAATTTTCCCAACAGTATACTTTGACTCTGTAACAAGATATTGCAGAATTTAATGTGTTATCAACATAAAATGGAAAAGTAACTACAGTCAGATAAATCTTGTACCTTTCACACACAGTTATGAAGTCCACACAGTGTCACGAAATATGTAATAAAGCGAATTTAATGAAATATTAGGTCCTTTTGTTTAAGGCAGTGTTAAATATTTGCTGTAATGAGCTCATTTAAGCCCATGCAATCCTGAGGTTGACAGTCTTGAAATGGCATTAGTTTTCACCTGAAAGTAGGCATGAAGATAAAAATGAACCGAAATGTATTCTCAGTCATCCCTTAACAGGAGACACACATTTCTTTTGCCCTATTTCCGTAGTCTTCACCAAGGCGAAGAAGCCAATACCAAAATTTCCATGCTTTTCAAGATGCATTTCATATCAAGTGCACTATTTTTGAGTTTTTCAAATACTGCAAGTAAAACTTAAATATTTTTCCTTTCCTCCCATCAGTCTGGAGAAAGGGGACTTTTTCTTCTACCTTTGACCAAGAGCTCTGGGGCAGCACCACAGGTATAGAGCATGACATTATAATCCAGGCAGTACCTAGCTGCATACACTATCAAGTTGAGCATTAGGTAATAGACAGTTTTCAGTTTCCCATGTAATAAAAATCTTTATCAGAAAATTGCACACAAAGGTAGATTAAGTGAAGCATCTGCATGCTGCAAAATTCTCGTCTCCCAGGTTTATTTTAAGCACTCTGCAGGAGCAAGAGCCATCAAGCAAGTTGCTCTTCCCTCGACGCAGCTCAAGACCTTACAGAACTTGAGGACCCCAAGCCACGTGCCCAGCAAGGTGCCCGCACCTCGGCTGGCCCCAGCTGGAAATGCAAAAGCCCATGAGGTTTTGCAGCTTCTGCGTTCGCAGAGGGGTCCATGGGGCTGGAGACTGCCCTCCTCCCCTTCCCAACTTGCGTGCTCAGCACTCAGTCCCAGCTCACTTCAGTTTATTCGAACCCTATTTAAGCAAGGTTGCCCATGCGCAGGGGTTGTTAAGAGACTCCCGTGTCTAGAGTTAAGCAGGTTTTTAATTACTTTTTGCTAAATAAGCCTGCTCTATGTGGCAGCTTAAGCCAAGGCAACATTTCATCTGAAGCCATGACTCAACATGCAACTCAACACAACAACCTCTTCAAACACAAGGCTGGCAAGATGCTAGGAGAGCTGCGCAATTCACAACTGGAAGAGGAGGATCATTTCTCTCAAAAGCAATCTGAAAGCATTTTTATAAATAAACAGCCTGAATTTGTGCATTTCCTGTGACCTCGCATTCTCTTAAGCATCTTCCCCCTATTCCACCTATAAATTCAATTCTGGTAGCTCAGTTTTTGAAACCTACAATGCCCAACTTGCGATGAGATCTCACGAGTGCCATCTACAGTGGCATTAATACTCCCCAAGCTCTAGCAGAAGTATATTCTCCATTACATCGAGAACCAGGGTTAAGTCTTCCACGGTCACACTGTATTTGCCACTCACAGCACTGTTCTTCTCTAATGCTTCCAGCTGCTGAGCTCCCAGCTGATAGCAGAAAGCTCTTGTCATGAGTCCCTAAAAATATAACGTTGCTTAGTGCAAGTCCCATCGTATTTCTGTTATTCCAGTTCCTCCTCTGTGATATCCCAGTGCTCCCTTACTTGCATCTTCAGCAATTTTGACATGCTGAAACCTTGCTGCTGGACCTCACCTAGCTTAAGTCAACGATAAAGCCAGTTGCACTTTTGATTTCCTGTCAAGGCGAAAAAAAAATCCAAAGTGAAGCCCCACTTATTTTTGAAGCAACTGCTTTTGGCAAATTCTCTTTGAAAAGATTCATATCTGCACTCAATGTTGTGCAAGGGAATATCCTCAATGTGTCAGAAGATCTTTCTTTTAGTGAAAAGTGTTTCATTTTGAAAAGAGAGACTCCCTTCAGCTTTTAAGTCTCATTAAGGTTGCTGGAGGTATTCAGCTGATCCTAGTAAGAGAGACGAGGCCTCGAGCAGAGCCAGTGGGTTACACCAAGCCACTGCTTTTGGTCACTCCTTGATCAATGCATTTCAAGAGCATCCCATCTACCATGATGGAGTAAAGATGCCAGCAAGGCAAATTTTAAGGAGAAAGCAGTCATCAGTGAAAGCACAGCCTGCTAGCCAACACTGCTTTGAAAACAGTTTATTTTCAGAAAGGGGAGTTTGAGATGACTCAAAGTTTAAGTCGCTGAAGCCCTGGTGGCTCACGCTATGCGGATCAAAACTACTGCATGCCATCAGCTGCAAGATAGCGCATGAGGCAGGAGCTCGCTATCAAAAATAACACAGCCAAAGAATAAAAAACAAACAAAAAACCCCCAGCCACTAATACCTGTGAAAAGCCAGAGTTCTAAGCACATTTGGCTAATGCCTCAAAAATCAAGATTCCAGACAAGCGCTCGTCACAAACACAGCGCTTTCCCAGGAGGAGGCTTCGGCACCTCACGCTAAGGCGATGCTCCTTGTACCTCAGTACAAGGTTTGGCCGCGGGCAAAACCACAGACGCGA